TCTTCCTACATGTTTATACTCCTGTCAGTGTACAGGAGACAGCCCTGCCTGCACATAGGAAGCAGCTAATTGTGTTGGTTGTCTGTTCTGCTGTTGGGCTTTTTAATGGGGCTCTTAGATTAGACACCTAGATTAGGGCATTGCCTTAGGAAAACTGACCGATGGTTGAAAATGTAGCTGTGTTTCATCTCTCTCTGTGTTATGAGAGTACAGGTTGCTTTGGTGGAAGAACTTCCATGAGATGCCTGAAGTAAGAACAGATCCTCATATTTTATCTGTGACTTTTCAAGATGATTCATCGGCATGGATCTGTGTACCTTGCCCTCCTTTCCCACTCTTTAGGGGATGCATTTAGGCATGTGCCATCTTGTGTTGCGAACACCAGTCGTTCTGGCAGTGACTGTGTCTCATGTAGCATGCTGTTCCAGGAAATGCATCTGCTGTATCTTATGGACAGCTCACGAGTAGGAGCCATTCTCTGGCTCTGACTTCCACAGTGCAGTTTGAAGTGATATTCTGGGTCTTACGGTGCTAGTATGGTGATGTTAACTGCACATATAGTGGAGTTCTATAGATCAAATATGATTTTTTGTATTTACATATCAGGCTGACTTTTCCTAGGACAGCCCTCTGCTTCTCTCAACAGGTTTTGCAGCAAGCAGGGTACTTAGCAGGCTCCTCTTGCTGCTGTAACCCCACCATTTGAGCAACTTGCAAAATCAGTAGAAGAACTGAAGTAATTAAGGGGGAAGATCCTGGCTGATTTGTGTCATGGTTTGTTGTAGGCACAGGCTTTTCTTGGAGTGTTCTACATGAGGGGGCTGCAACCTAAGGAAAAGAGGGGTCTGAAGTACCTGCTGCTGGCAGCAAAGAACGGTGTAAGTAATCCCTTTGCAAGCTGTGATTGTTCCCAGTTTGGCATCATTGCAGGTTACAGGTCACAGATTTCAGGGCTTCTTGGAAACGGGAGCAAGTGTCAGGATTTTGCCTCACAGCCTGAAAGGACAGGGTGGAGCCTTGGTGCATCTTGGAGGAGAAGCAGGCCCTGGGGCGCAGACCCTACAAAACATGAATGTAGAAACAGCCCTTTTGGGTTAGAGCAATTCTTACAGCACTAGTGCTTACATTCATCTAGCATAATTTTCCAAGTTTCCCATTATGAAGCATCTACACGCTCTTCAGACAAACTCCTTCACGACTGTATCATTTTGAGAACTTTGTGTCTATCTTGAATCCGTTCTTCAAAATTGACCCATTATTTCCTGCTTTTTATAGAGAGGATGAAAAGACTGTTTCTTTGCAGGGGCCTTCAACATGCTTCAATCCCCATTCAGCCTTCCCCTATTGTTTGAGTTGATCCTCACACATCATGTTGTCCAGATCCCCAACAATTTTCTTGCTCAGTGTTGAAGTTTCTCTGAGTGACCCAGGCTTGTCTGTTTTGGAAGGGCGGTGCCACAGTCTCAGCATAGTGCCGCTCCTGAACCTTTACCAGCACTTAGAGTAGTTGAATATGACATCCCATGTCTTGCAGCCAGGTTTCTGCATCCCACAGTTTTGTTTCTTTACAGCACTGTGACATTGTTCACTCATTTTCAGCTTGCACTGCATTGTAATAGCTAGTATTTTCTGAAGAACTTGTTCATTTTAACTTCAGTTCCCACAGCTTTTGTATAATGGAAAATAATGAATAGCTATTCCCTCTTCTGGCTAAGACTTCTGATTCTGTCGCCCTTCAGTATGTCCTCTCTGAGTCATTTCTTCTGCAGGTTGCAGAGTGCTAGTTTAGTTTGTCTCTCCACATAGTTAAGCTGTTCCATTTTGCTTGTCAGGCTTCTCTCTATTTTTCTAAGTCTCCTTTGACCGATTTAAGATGCTTGGACTAAAACTGCACTCAAGATGGAGGCATGCCAGGGATCTGAATTAATGAGATCCTCTGCTTTGTTCCATATTTCCTTCCAATAATTCCTAATATTGTTTGCCATTTTGCCTGCCACTGAGCAGTGACTTGATGGTTTCAAGGAGCTATCACAGTGACTCATAGATTTCTTTCTATAAGCGCTGTTTTGTGTTTGTCAACACCAAGTTTCCTCTGGGATTCTGTTGCTCACTGCAAGTTCTTTATTAATTAATTCTTTGCAGTAAATTTGATCACTCTGAATGACACTACATCACTTGCAAACTTTACCACTTCAGTTTTCACCTACTTTTAACAATGCAGGCACTTGTTAGATCACTGGTGAGACTAGACCACTGGTGAGACTAGCACCAGCAGCTCAGACATCATGTTCATGGTGGTTGATACAGTATTTAATTCCAGATCTGCTGAAGATCTCTCATAAGCTGCATCACTGACTTCTTTCTTCCATCCTGATGTCAGATGCATACGCTGCACAATACAACAATGAATTATCTTGTTCAATAGATGATTGTCATTTATTCAATGCCTAGTAAACCCTTAACAGAAAATCTAGCAGGTAACTGTAGGTCCCAGGGGTACCCTGCTGTAGATCACTGTTTTGGTCCCAGCCGGGACAGTTCTCAGGAGCTAGTCATCTTTCCCCATCTCTGCTTCCCGATGGATCCTGGCTGCAGATCTACCACAGCCTCATCTTTGGTGACAGGCTGGTGCGTAGGCTCCCTGGGATGTACCCCACGCCTTCTGCTGGGAGGAGGGCTCCCTGAGTATGTTTTTCTCCCATTACCCTGGAATATGAATTTATGTTTAGTTGATTAAAAGAAGACTGGATATGGGTGAAGCAAGGACAGCACCATTTAGCTACAACTCCAGAAAAGGGAAAACAGGCACAAAAAGTCATGGGTTAGGTGTTTCTCTACCAGGTTGTTGCTCTGTGCTAAAGCCAAGGGGGAAGCTCTGACAGGTGTTCTTCCAAATACAATGATGCTTCAGAGAGCTGCCTTTTGCTTTGGTTACCACTTCTTATCCTCCCTTATTTTATGCATGCAACCATAGAATATAAAAAAAAGTGGTGATGGAAAACTGAGTCTGACCTTCAGATTTCAAAGCGTATCGCAGTCACTTATGCCATGCTAATTTGGGGATCTCTTCTTGTGGTCTTGTCTTTGAGGTGTTCATCAGATAAGAGACGGCTAGTGGAATACTTCATACTTATTTAACCCTGTCTCTTGTCACATCTGAAGTGCCAATCTTTCAACATGTTTATCTCATCTCTGAAGAAGTTTATTGCTGTCATAAACTGGGACTTGCAACATTTTGCAAAGCACCCACTCATTAAGTTCTTCGCTTTCCTCTACCAGCTACATCCCAGACAGCAACACTTGCAATATGTTCTTTTCTCATGGCTTTATTAAAGCTTGCTACTTACTTCCTTTTTTTTTATTTCCTTTTTTTTTGCAAAGCCTTGTTTAGATCGTGTTTCTGGCAATCACACCCTTCAAGTTATGTTGCTGGCTTTTTTGCTGGAAAAGGTCTGTGTGACTGGTAGCCCATGCGGTCTTTTCAGTGTCTTCAGGGCCATCATCTTGCTTTCTTGCTATCTGTGAAACCCTTTTCCTCCCATTGGATCTCAAAGGTAAAGTGCACAGCCAAGATGTAAACATATCACTGGTTTGGATTTGGCTTCACTGACCCATCTGCAGTGGCATCCTCTACTTTCTAGTCCATTCTTAGCAGTTACATGTGTCTAAGTAGTTTAAGTGTCCTTTCTCTAGCACTTACTTGCTTGGCTTCATTTCTGCTGCTTGAGATTTCTTCTGGAATATAATTAGGTGGGGCTGAGCAAGATAGGGGTGAGCTGTTGTGTTGAAGGCCTGATGCTGCCAAGGGGAATCTTCCAACTCTTGGCAGCAATTACCTCTGTGGCATTTGTTATGTTTTTACAAGACTTCTGCATGAACTGTAGTAGAGCAGTCCACAGGGCGTGCTCAGGGTTTGGGTGTGATCAGGATGTGGATGCAGTCAAGGCTGTCCAAGGCCTCTTAGCTCTGACCCCTAAGACAATTGGGATGCTCTGAGGAGACAGCAGTTTCTTTGTCCCTGTGACACAGATCGGTATGTTGAAAGGAAATCAGTGAATTTAATTGGAAAGGGATACAAGGGAGCAGAGTCAGAGATGGCTGGTAAGAAATTCTGCTTCACTATAAGCTCCAAGAAAGAACTAAATTGTTGAAGATATGGTCTGAGGGACCAAAGGTAGAGGAGTAAGCTTTAAAGAAGGTAACCAAAGGTACAGCATTAAACTTTAAAGAAGGTGTTAAAGACTCTCTGTTCTCCTTTTGTGGGCTGTCTTCACATCTCTGTGGTGTGGGGCTCATTGCTGTGCTATCTCCTGTGGCTAGGATGCCCAAAGCAGGTATCACGTGGGCGTTTGCTATGAGAAAGGCCTTGGAGTGCAGCAGAACCTGGCAGAAGCGATGAGACACTACCAACAGTCAGCTGCTGCTGGGAACAGGAACGCTCGGGAGAGGCTGCGAGTGTTAGAAGAGGAGGTGGAAGGTACCGCGGACAGCAGGGGAAGAGGGTGTGTGGGACTGCACGGGGTAGTGACCCCATAAAAGTGGGGCCCATATTGCCAGAGGACATGTGGCACAGGGCCGTGGCAAGAAGTCGTCCTTCTTACTGAAGGGGCCACTTTTCTTTATCCGCCCTTTCCACTTCTTACCAGCTATTTCCAGTCGAGCTGAAGTGGAGAGGCTGTTCCTATAGTATGATGCATCATTAATATCTTTTTTTTAATGTACTTCCAGATATGCAAACAAAGCATTTGTTCCCTTCTGCAATAAGAGCTTCTTCCTCCAGCCCCTGCTTCTGGGCTATTGAGCATATGCCCGCAGGCTTCCACACCACCCAGCCAAGACAATCTGCCCTCACCCTGCCCCACTCTTGGAGCACAGACGGACTCCACACGATGATGCTCAGTGGTGCAGGATGGAGCCGTGCCCTCGGAAACAGGGCAGCACCACTGGAGCTGCAGTGCTTGGAGCCTCAGCGCTGCCGTTACTAGAGCGGCCGGTAAGTGATGTAAGCAGGTGGAAGGCAAGGCAGCCTTTCTTAGTCTGTGTGGAGCTGGAAGCAGGCTAGCAGTGAATGGGAAGAGAAAGCTTTCTGTTAATGGAACAGGAGCCATTTTTAAATATTGGTGTTTTGAGAATAAACCTTGTAGCATCTCCTGTGCCACCATGTCATCTGGCCCTCTGCCTTCCCATACAAGGACCTTCCTTATGCTCCTACATTTCCATACAGAGCTACGTGTAGCCTTCCACCATGCCACAGTGGTATGATTTGGGGCTATAATTCCAGTAGCCCTGAGCATCTTGCACATGGTCCCCCAGTGAGGTTTACAAGCCATCGTATGGTGATATTGGCAGCTAACTCCCTGATGGGCCTGGCCTGCACCCTCTGAGGCAATTTGATATCACTTCAAGGCTAGCTGTTCCCACGGTGATTCTGCTACCAGCACAATCTGGGCTTCTCTCTACGTTGCCAGTGTGGCAGTTTAATCTGCTTTCAAACCTGTGCAAGCAAGAGTGAATTCTGATTATTATGGCACAGATGTTTGTGGGATATGGCTTATGGATCCACCTGAACCAGTGAAAGTAATGGCTGTCCTCAGCCATCCTGCACCATTGTCAGTGTCCTTCGGTCCCCAGTTATTATTCCTTCAGCTCTGGCAGTGAGCTGCTCCCACGGGTACACCCCTTTGAGTCACAATGAGCAAGGTTTGCTTCAAAATTTATGTTGTACATGTTTGCTAAGCACGCCAGCTCATTTTCACTGAAGTGGCTAAGGGATGCTCCCAGCGGGCAGTAACCACTGTCAGGCAGACAGCGGCAAGCAGCTGGTATGATAATTTCTTCCACTGGGGCAGCTGAATCTGGAAAAAGACATTTGTCCACACCAGTTTAAACTGGTTCAAGGGCATCTGTACAAACTGTCCAGCTTCCTGTAACCATGGGGTGCTTTGTGTAGATCGAGCTCTGAAAAACAAAGGCAATGGCCCCATCCTGAACTTGCCATGGTCTCCATTAACCAAGGGAAGGGCACAGCCAGAGCTCAACACATCTGATTGTTCTTCTAGTCTGGTCTCTCTTTCTGCTCAGACCAAACTTTCTTAGACCATTTCCTTTATCAAGCAGGATACAATTAGCAGGAAATTCCTCGGGTGGATTTCCTATTCTGTGATAATCCACAACATGCTTACACATTGGTCAGGACAGGATGGGGGTAAGGCTTGGGGGTTGAAAGCACTTTGCAGGATCAGGAAATTGAACCAAGAGAGAGGAATTTGTCTCCTTTTTAATCTGCTTATTATAATGTAGTTTTCTGTGAAAATTGTCCCTTGACAGGCACATCAAAGTAACTTTGCAGAGGAGTATGTGAGGTTGTGCCGTGTGTTTGTCCTCTGTGTGTCCCTGTGTTTGTTCCTCTGTCCCAGGATGCAGAGGAACCCCTTAGGCCTGTGCCTCCTCACACTCACAGATACACCTCCCTCGTGGTTTGCCCAGCTGCATCTCAGAATTTGGCTCACTGGCATTGTTTTAGTGCAAGAGCCTGTTTGTGAAACAAAACAGCAAGGTACTTCTATTAGCAGCACAGCAGTATAAGCAGGCTGGGGCCAACCCATCAGTGTAGTTTATTGTCAGAGATGGGGTCATCTGTAAAGCACTTCAGAGACTCCAAATACAACAATGGATATTTTTGGTATTAAAGAGTTTACCTGGGGAAATCTTACTCTGTTGCTTTTGTCATTTGGTCCTGAGAGCAATAGAAAGGGGTAACTTTCTCATTAACTTAATTTTAAATTATCTCTATGATTGTCTGCTGCTGTGGCTTGTGTGTGTACACACTACAAACAGGGCACTGTCACCTCTAGGTGCATGGAAAAGGAACATGGGTTGGACAGTGGAGACACTCCAGGATCATGTCTGCTGGGTCAGGCTGCCTGTTCTTCTTCAACTTAACAGTACAATGAAAGCCAAAATATCACCCAAAGACACCTGGTGCGACAGCCCCGCCATAAGCAAATTACCTGTGGAGAAAGATATGTTGTGAACTGTGGTATCTGTGGAGTACTTTTAATGTAAAGTGGTGAAGGAAAGCAAGCAGTGTGTATGCTGCTGGCCTGCAGTGTGGCAGAGGGGAGGCCTCGTTGCCGTAGTCACTCAGCAAGCACTGTGTGCTGCTGGCAGCAGGGGGTGGCTCACCAGCATTCCCATAGCCTGACTCTCCTCTCACCTGTACAGCCACTTTGCCAACATGCCCCACATTTGTTCTGGCGTTTTGTATCATAGTTGGAAGGCACAAACTATGGTACTAGGTGAGTCCTGTACGTGCACAATCCAGAAGCCCTTACCTACCATCCATGCACCGTTGCGCAAGCCTACAGGTGCACTCCAGATGCTTATGCCATTGTTGTCTTTCCATTCTCTGTGAGTGCAAATCCCCGTGGTTAACACCACCTGTGTGCTTCTTTCTTTGTTACTAATATCCACATTTGAGTTTTCTTACACATGCTATTATCCTAAAACTGTCTTACAGTTCACATACATACAGATCGAAGTTGAAAGGCCCTAATATGCTTGAAGCTTGTGACTGAATATTTCTAAACAGTGATTTCACGCTTCCCTTTTCCCAGGTTACTTTGGCAGACTCCAGCCATCTGTTGTCTACTTCTGGGCAAGGCTTAGGCTTTCAGAATCCAGTGGCCTCAAGAGCATGGAGAAAGAAACTGTGGGCACCTAGTGCAGCCATATTAGAGATGCCAGTGCTGATTTTGGGGTGTTTTACAAAATACCACGTTCACAGTGGCAGAACCACAAAAGGTGAAAAGATCAGTGGAAGACAACAGGCAGATCTCCTCTTTCTGAGTTGCCATTTTAGGCTTTCTGCAGATATATCATCATGTCAGCTATACTGCACCTTGGTCCAGAGGTGGTAGTGTTAAAAAAAAACAATTTTATTTAAATAAGAACTGAGATCCTGGAGCCCAACTCTGCAGCATATTGCAAAGTCCATGACTGTGATATTTTACTGTCCGTGGTGCACAATCTGTGATCAGGTGGATTTAGTTGACTGTTATGGTTAATCCCACAACCCCCCCACCCCAATCAGCCTGCCCTGGGAGGAAAGGGCCCTCCTGCTGTTGTGTGACTTGATGTGATGATATGGTGAAAAATGAGGGTGGAAGAGGAGGAAAGCTAGTAAGGCAAGAACAGGCAGGTAGAAGGGAACTAAACAAGGTGAAATCAGTCATGGAGAAGTTTGATGGGGTGAGGCAAAGGAAGAAATACACCTGTCGTGATCAGTCTAGAGATGGATGACCCTGTTAAAGCACGCGTGCACCTGAAATGCAGAAAGAAGCTCTGTCTGACTCTTATCTCCTTATCACAGCCGCCAAGCTGCCTACAGAACAGGAGCACTGTCTTCCAGTCCAAGGCTCTTCCCGTGTGCCGACAGCTGCCGCAGAAGCCCCGAGCCTGTTTCATTGTGGACTTGGACCTTCTGGGACAAAATCATTTCAAAGAGGGTGCTCATTTCAGAAAGGAAAGTGCTGGCCAGTCTTGTCCCAGCAGCATTCAAGTCAGCCCCAGCACCTTTGCCGAAGGTCTCAAAGGTCCTTGGTTTCTCCTGCTTTGCAGCTTCCTCATCCTGAGGTGAATGCGGGGAGTCAGGGGAGAAGATGTTATCCTTGTAACTACTGGTGAGTGGCAGGGAGAGCCGAGCCACCCATGCTGGGTCAGCAGCCGTCAGCCTCTTGAGAGCCAGCTCTGGAGGGAGTGAAAACAAGAACTGGTGGTGAGACATAGAGGATACCACAGGAGAGAGGGGAAAAAAAAAAGTTAAAAAGAAAATAAATTGAGAAATGAGACTTCTGAAATCAGCTGTGAGAGGACTGATTGTAAACAGGTCTAGAGATAAGCTACCAGCGGCATCATTCAAACCAGCAGCTTAAAAAAACAAACCAGAACTGGTTTAAAACTACTGGGGTTTTGGGGTTTGGGGTTTTTTTATTGTATATTAGGATCACTTTACTTTCTCATTTGGTGCAGCCTCAAGTGGCACTTCTCTGAATGTTTAGCAAAGCTGGAGAAAGTGAGGGTCTAGGACTGGCTAAAGGGGAGACAACAATGAAAAGCTTTCAAGTGAGAAGTGTTGGACAGAAAGGTCACTAGTGGACTTCCCTTAACGGTTACTCTAGCATGGGAATTTGCTACTAATCAGGCATATTGAGACTGAAAAGAAATGGGTTATTGTGAAAACAATAACAGCAGAAGTAGAATGAAATTTTGGATTATAAAATGCACAGCTGGATGGTTGAAGACTGGTAACAAAAAATTGAGCTGTAAAGTAGTTGTTCATCAATTGGAAACAGATGAGGAGCAGTGGGAGCCTAGTGTGGGTGTTGGTTGCAGGCTCATTAGTGTACCAGTAATGTGATTCTGCCCCAAAAAGAGCAAATAAAATCATACAGTGTGTTGGTCAAGGTATTCCCTGTTGGCATGAAGACATATCTGTGGCATTGTTACTAGGTCCGGTGAGACCTGATTAAGAGTATTACATACAAATCTGATTATCCATCTGTAGGAAAGAGGATCTGAAATGACAGAAGTGCAGAGAAAACGATTGAGATGAAAACAGGAGAGAGTCCAGGCTTACATGGTGGAGACCCCAAGAGATAGAGGTTGCTTAGCCTAAGGAAGCAAATGCTCACCAGGGACCTGACTGCAACCTGTCATTATTTCGATGAGATAAGCACCGACAAAGGAAATCTTTATGCTTAAAATAGTGTTGGCAAAAGAAGAAGTGATTATAACTGTCCATGAATAAACATATACTGGAAATTAAAGGAAGGACCCCATAGCAGGGGTGAGCCTGGAATAGCTTCCTCATCAGACAGCAGGAAAGGAAATGGCAGTTCTTGTTTTTTAAGGTAGAGCTTTGCAGTTGGTAAACAAGACTCCGTGATGTGCTGCACAGACGCTGCCTTCCAGCCCCTCATTGCTTCATTTGCAAAGCATAACCAAGAACCACAGGGAGGTTCGAAGTGACCGTCAGGTTTGTGAAACACTTAGAGAGCAGCAAAATAAATAACTGGTGTCTGGTAACAAAACACAGAAGTCCTGATCAGATGGCAAGAGCTGCTGTCAATAATTATGGGGCTTTGACTTAGAAAGTGACCTCCGAAAGGAGGGTCCCTGTTCCAGTGCACTCATCGTGCTGCTTCCAGAAGGTAATGGATACCCTGCCACAGCCTGGGACACATGGTCCTCGGTCAGTGGCAAGTCAAGCACTGAGACAGGTCTCCTTCCTCAGCCAACTAAGTAATTAGTCCTTTTGCTTTGAAAACAGCCACATCCTGGGGTGGGATGGGGGTGAGTGCTGGGATTCAGACCTGGCAAGGAGAGAAGGGCAGAGACATCATTTAGAATTTGTTTTAGCTGAAGCCCCAAAATTCTTTTGTGATGCTTAATTTCCAGGCTTTCTGCAATCTCAGTATTTTCTTTCAGTCACAGTGACTGTTCTTAAGAGATCTCCCAAGTGTGCTGAAGTCCCATGTTTTTTCTGTAAAACAGCCACAGTTCTCTCCTCTTCAATCTGCAAGAAGCCGCTGCATTCCCTGAATATTTTGATACTTCAGCTCTAGAGCAGGGCACAACAGTAGTCTGCTCGCTGCAGGGAGAGCCAAGACACCATGAGCTGATGGTCCCGTGGCCATGAAACCTTGTAATTAGGTGTGTTTAATTTGACCGATAACTCTTTACTGCCTTATTTTAATGGTGTTTCGGGAGCAGAGGTTGGTTTTATAATCAATAAAGTTATATCTCTCATCTGCTGCTGGGAGCACTCTGTTTCGCTGGTGGGAGATAGGTGTTAATAGACAGTGCTGGGTGCTGAGAGCCCGCAGCTTGATGCTCACAGCATAAACAGCCAGAGAGCTGGTTGGGACAGATTATTCGTGCAGTTCCCCCCCCCGCTGGGAGTAGCACAAAGGCCCAGACAGCCTCCGCCAGCTGTTATGATACTCCTGAGCACAAGCAATGCTTCCTTCCTCCCTCTCTCAGGATGCAAGTCAACTTCTCTGTTTGTGTTTGGGAGAGGAGGAAGGAGTCCAGCAGCTCTGTCGTCTGTGCTCTGTTGCCTTTTTGGGAAGGTCTGGGCTCATGGTTAAGGTTGTTTTTCACCACTGAAACAGGGCAGCCTCTTGTCATGTCCAGCACTACTCTGTGGGCAGGAAGCCACGCTGGCATAGCCTCAGCATGCACCACTGGTGTTCACTCTGAAATTCCAGTGATTTGGCAAAAGGGATTTTTTTTCTATCAAGTGCAAGAAGCGTGGGAGATGGCATTTCATGGGTATGTGTCCCCATAGCACAGATTTTCTAGGATGCTACCTGTCTGGGGAGGACTGAATCTGGGAAGATGTGCTGAGCAGGTCAACCAGTCCCTTTACTGGGACCAGTGCATGCCAGTACACCCATGGGATGGAGCTACGCAGCCTGTTTTCTCCCCACTGTTGGCTGCAGGAATCCAAGGAAGCTTTCATTTCACTCGGCCTTTTCTTTGTTGGCTCCTTACTAGAATAAAAGGGCAGGAAGGCAAACAGACAGAAGCAGCATGGTTCTCCCTCTAAGCAAGAGCACAGAAAATGCCCAGCTCTGGAATTAAAATGACTACAGCAGCAAACCTCAATGAGTTCCTCTTGCTGTGGAGGAGCGCAGAGGCTCCACAATGAAATTTCTGCTACAGGACATGAGTCAGCCCAACTCTTTCAAATTGAAATGCCAGTAGAAGAGATTTTTAGAACAAATCAATAAAAGGAACGTGTAGAAAATGTCAGACCCAGATGGTATTCACCCTGGAGTGCTAGAGGAACTCAGATATGAAATTGCTTGGTTTATTAACTGCTGTTCGTTAACTACTGCTTCAAATGAACACGGTATCAGAGGAGAGGAAGGTAGAAATTGTGACATGAGTTTTTAAGCACGTGAGGGTGAATCTAGTGCAGGCAGATTCATAGAAATCATTATATGCAAAACTCAGCAGATAGCCGAGTACCTGCTATTTGGACAAGAACTGAGATGACATTTGCAAGGCAGGGAATTGCATTTTGCAAATTTGGCATCTTTGGAAGAGGTGGATGAAGAGCCCTGGTTGACAGAGGACACCTGAGCTTGCAGGAGTGCACCAGCCAAGCTCTCGGGGGACTGAGCTGTCCCTGAATTAACAGCCACGTTCTGTTAAGCACTAATATGTGTTAAAAGCTGGGAAGCAAGGGTAGGAATAAATAAATCTTCCCCACAAAGGGAGGTCATCCTAGAGTATCTGTCCAACAGTGGATGACATTGGTGTTGACTCTACTGAAGTGTTGACATAAAAGCAGAGTGTTGCTGAAGGACCTAATGCCATGAGCAAAAGTGGCTGGTGGATTTCCATGTCACCAACTGCAGAGTAATTGTCACAAAGAACAACACATCATATAGTGATAACTCTCCACCACACAGAGGAGGGATTCAGCAGTCATTGTGAAGTTTGGTAACAGAGCTCAGCATGGAGCTTGGGCAGGACAGTAGTGAAGAACAAACCAGAAGACCTCCTTATACTACCAGTGTAGATGTATCCTAAACACTGTGCATGATTCTGGTCACCACTTCTTGTTAAAGATACACTAAAATTAGTATCAGGTTGGTCACAGGAGATGAGACTGGGCCAGTTCAGCCTGGTAGGAAATAGGAGCCTGATGGGGCTCAAAGGATATTTAATATCTTGAGGGGCTTGAGGACAACTCTTCACCTTTCTCACTCTTCGTGGACTAGGAGACCATGAAATGAAGGGGCCCAGGTCAGCATGAGAAGCAGTTCACATGCTGCATAGTAAAACTGGACTTCACCCCTACGCCACAGATGTCAACTGCACAAATCCACTGAACAGCAGCAGATAGATCCATGGGAGGAAAAATCTACCAAGAGTGATTAAACACATGAAAAAATCCAACGTGAAGCTCAGCAAGTCCCTTTGATGTAAACTGCCTGGTACCAAAAGCATAGGATGGTCCATACATGCTGTCCCAGGCATCTGCCGCGGTCAGATCCACCCTAGGAGATGAGATGTCACCTGGCTTGCTGCAGGCCAGCCAGTTTTTATCTTCTGAATGGGGTTAGTGTGTTATTTAAGGAGATCCTGCTGCTGGAGCCCCCCACCAGCCCCAGCATGCTCCCAGTAACAAGGCCACCTCACCTGCCTGCGGCTCCAGGAGGGTCTCCAGCTCCTCTCCCACCAGCTGCTGCACAGAGAGCTCGAAGCCGCTCTCCGAATCGCGATCCTCTGCCTCACTCTCGCCGTGCCCACTGTCCTTTGTGCTCAGGCAGTCAGCATCCAGCCCCGCAGCCCTGGGAGGGGGCCAAAACACTCAAGTCACACTTCAACACTTAATACAACCCTACCTTACTGATTGCTTTGAACGTGGTTGTCTTTATCCCTCATAAAATGACCCAGGGGAGGATGTGGGCATCCTCTCAGTGCATCACAGTACCGAAGGCATAATCATTTCAGTCTCTGCCAATTAATGAGTTTTGGGTTTGGGGTTTTTTTTAAGAAAAACCACACCACACACACATGAACAAAAGCACTGAGATCAGGAGTGCCCATGGACCCTCTGAAAACTGGGCCCTGGATGGGTGCTGGGCTACACGTGGAGCTGCACCACATTTCTTGCCCAAGAGGGTTTTTAGCCTTCTTCAGGGAGGCCCTGAGCAAATGGGGAGCTGCTGGCTCTTCCCTGTGAATTCGGAGGAGCAGCGCAGCCCAGCCCTGACCCAGTAGCCCCAGGACAGCTCTCCTTCCCTCTCCATCCTCAGCAGATGGAGATGATGATGAAAAGGGTGGAGAAAGCTGGGTCTGCCCGTGGCCTGGGCAGGTGGGGTCAGGGGGAATGTGGCAAGGCAGTGACGAAGCCCTGGCATCCTCAGGAGATGTCAACAACATAGTTTAATGGGAATGCAATGAAGTTTGGGAACATCTTCAGTGCACAGCTGGGATATCAGTCCTCGTCCCTGCTAGCAGTGTTTCCCTCACTAACCTCCTGGCCCTGAACTCACGTCAACAGGTAACAGAATCTCTAAGAAGGTACCTGGAGCCATGAGAAAACTCATCCTCATGCTTCTGCCTCCAAAGCTGGGACCCTCTTGTTCCTGAGTGCACCTTTCCATCACACTCTTAACACATCAGTGTGCCCCCAGAAAGGATAGCAGAAGGTTCTTGGCCATGGAGGAGCTCAGGTCAGTATGGAAGGAGCTGCCAAAGGTGTCCCAGAGCAGCTCTAGGAAATCACTGGATACTAATGGTGAGCCAGGACCAGAACAGCACAGCCATCCCGTGAAGGGAGGAGCTGCCTCCCAAATCTTGGGTCAGCAAAGCTGGGGACAAGGTTTTGCCTTGCGTGCCTGCTGCCCTGGTGTCTTGAGGCTCTTGGGGCCAGTGGGACCGAAGCAGAGGCAGCAGAGACACGAGGGAACAGGGCGTGGGGAATGGCAGGGCTGAGGGCCAGCCTTACCTGCTGCCGTTCTTGGCCGTGTACTTGTTTCCCCTGTGGTTTGTTTTGGGCTGGAACTGGCCCTGGTGCAGCAGGGAGAGCAGCTGGGACATTTGCTGTAAGGCAGGAAAAGCCTGTTGAGCCCCGTCGATTGCCACTCAAGCTGCTTCCTGCCAGGACGTCCCCTCCGAACCCCCCCGGCCTTTTTATAGCATTTCCTCCTCCCGCAGATGGTTCAGCATCCCCAAGCAGAAGGAAAACAAGGGCCCGGGCAGCCCACCTGGCCCCAGCGCTTCCCCTGCACCATCCCTGCCAGCGTTCCCTGCCAGCCTGCTGCTCTGGGGAAGCAAGCGCGAGGTTGTCCCCATCTCCCAGTGGCAACCATCCTCCACCCCAGCTCCCAGGGCGTCCTGGTGGGCGTGGGGAGGGCCTGCCCATGGCAGGGCGGCTGCTCATCCTACCCAGCCCCTACTGCTGGGGCACCTCTGCCCAGGGCTGGCAGGAGACCAACCAAAGTCCATCGGGTTGCACATTCCCACCACACCAGGGTGTGCAAGACCTGAGCAAGGAAGGATTTGGCGGGGCGGACGAAGGGAGGCACACACCCCTGTCAATGCATGGAACAGCTCCTACCTGCACCGGGGGTGACTCCATCGCAAACTCTCCGGTGGGGCTCTGCTCTGCCAGCGCCACCAGCGATAGCCGGACCAGGCTCCTGAGGATGTGCTGGTGGGGTTGGGGCTGCCCAGGTCTGCCAGCACCCACGGGCTGGTTGGGTAGCAGGGGGGGTTCTCCCACGGGCCCCTGTGATGGCTTCACCAAGCTCTTGCAGTGCGGTGGTGCATCCGGGGGGCTCACAGCCTCTTTGGCCAAATTTTTCAGTCTGTGGGGCTGGCAGGGCCGGCGCTGGAGGATGGGCAGATTCAAAGTCTCCTGCTGCTCATCTGAGTCTTTTTGGGTCCTCTGATTTCTCAGGGTCCTGTAGAGAGTAGGGGTGAGGTGGAGGGGAGCCTGCAGGGAACCCCCTGGCATGGGGGTGGCTGTGCCAGGAAGATCCTCCTGGCAGGGCCGGGGGGGCTCAGCCTCCCGGGGCCGGCCCCGGAGCAGCGGGACGAGGTGGATATCCGTCTTCTGGATCTGCCTGTGCGGCTTCTTGAGCTGCTGCTGCCTGCGAGCATCCTCTGCCTCCCTGCAGTTGTAGGCCATGCCATCCTTCCTCTCCTTCTTATGCAAAGACAGGGTTAAAGCCAAAAGGAGAAGGCACCCACCCAGGAGAGCAGCCAGGCAGATAACAGCCACCACAGAGGGGCTCAGCCACCCGGGATTCTGGGCTGAGATTTTGGAGAATGCCCCGTGATGCCGGAAAACTAAGCGGATCCGGGCCAGGGTATGCAGGGGAATGTCCCCCCCATCGCTCACCTGGACCACCAGCTCCCACTCGCTGCCAGCGAGGCTGCTGGCATTGCTGGTGTTGAGGAAGATCTGCCCCAAGAGAGGGTCCAGGATGAAAAGCCCAGCATCATCCCCACCCACCAAATCATACCGAAGAGCCCCGTTGATGCCAGAGTCCACATCCCTCGCTGTGATGGTGAAGAGGAGGGGAGCACTGGTGCATGACACGAGGGTTGCATTGGTTACCACTGCAGTCCCTTGGGCGCTCCCATTCCCAGGGGCCACCCAGAAGCACCCCGTGTCTGCATTGACCAGGATGGAGAGCGTGGCCATGCCTCCCGCCAGCGCCGGCGCAATGATGACAGGGGCATTGTCATTCTGGTCGAGCACAGACAGCCTGACGGAGACATTGGACGCCAGCTTGGGGTGACCACTGTCCTCTGCTGTCACCAGGAACTCCAGGCTCCTCACCTGCTCATAATCAAAAACTTGCAGGGCAAAAACATCCCCAGTCATGGGGTCAATCGAGACCAGACCTGAAGCAGAGGAGTCCAGGATGCTGTAGGTGATTTTCCCGTTGAAACCTAGGTCAGGATCGCTGGCACGGATGGTGAGCAAGAAGGCAGGTGCTTTGCTGTTCTCAGCAACGGCAGCCTCGTAGGTGGCCTTCTCGAAGGAGGGGGCATTGTCATTGACGTCACTGATGCAGATAGTGAGGTGCTTCAACACAGACAAGGAGAGGTCACCCTGGTCCCGCACCACCAGTGTCAGGTTGTACTCGGCACGCAGCTCCCTGTCCAGCGTGGCGTTAGTCATCAGCACGTAGCTGTGGCTGTTGGTCCTCTTCAGCCTGAAGTGCTCATACCCTTGACTGAGGGAGCAAAGCACTTGCCCGTTGCTTCCCGAATCAGGGTCGCTGGCCGTCACCAGAGCCACAAAGCTGTCTTTGGGGAGGGCTTCAGAGAGCACGGGCACCCGTGCGGCCCAGGTGACGTGGACATCAGGAGCATTGTCATTGACATCCAGGACTTTGACCAGGATCTTGCAGTGCGCTGGGATGGGGTTGGCACCCAGGTCCCGGGCTTGCACATCCAGCTCGTAGGCGTGGGTTTCCTCATAGTCCAGCGGGTGCTTCAGGATGATGCTGCCTGTGCGGGCATCAATGTCAAAAGCGCTCAGCACCTCTGGGGGCGCATGTTTGCTCAGGCTGTACTCGATCTCCCCATTGCGGCCCTGGTCAGGGTCAGTGGCCGTGACTGTCACAAGGAGGGTCCCAGGCAGAGCATCCTCCCGAATCTCTACCATCAAAGAGCTCTCTGCAAAGATGGGGCTGTTATCATTGGAGTCAAGGACGATTACTTTAATTAAAGCAGTACCTGACTTTGGTGGCTCCCCATGATCAGTGGCTGTCAGCACAAGGTCGAAGGAAGAATGCAGCTCCCGGTCCACTTCTTTAACCACGATGAGCTCCGCATGCCTGGTCCCATCGGAGCTGGAGACAACCTCCAGAGCAAAGTGCTCGCTAGGGGAGAGGGCGTAGGAGCAGTGGGCATTGGGGCCGGCATCAGCATCCAGGGCTCGATCCAGCGGGATCCGTGTCCGCAGGGATGCACTCTCTGACATCTCCAGCTCCAGCTCCGGTGTGGGAAACCGCGGCGCGTTGTCATTGACATCCAGCACTTGAACCTCCACGTGAATCAGAGCCAGGTTTCGGGCAGCCAGCACGTCGAACGAGACCCAGCAGGGATCGCTGTGCCGGCACAGCTGCTCCCTGTCCACCCGCCCGGCGGTGCTGAGCACCCCATCCCCACTCCCCACATGCAGCGGGAACCTCCCGGGGGTCTCCATCAGCTGGAAGGTGTCCGCTGTTTCGCCACTCTCACCCCCCTCGAAGTGCTCGGCCAACATCCCTATCACCGTTCCCTGCGGCACTTCTTCGAACACCCGGTACTGCACCGTGAACGTGGCCACCTCCTGGGCATCGGCGGAGAGGAAGAGGTACCACCACAAGGCTGGGAGATGGAGAGCGGAGCGGCTCAGCAGCAGCATGCTGTTGGCGAAGCCCACCACCTTGCTGCCCCAGCACGCTGCCGCGGGCTTGTCCGCCTGCCGCCGCATACCCGGATGGTCCCTACGGGGATCGCAAGTCCTCAGCATCCTCTCCCATCGCCATGTCCCACAAGCACCAGCCGCTGGTAGGAACGGAGGAGAAATGGCGAGCGAGTCCAACAGTTGTCTCCCGCCCTGCCATCACTGGGGGACAGCCGGGAGAGCCAGCTGCTCCCCGGGCTGAACCGCTCAGCTCGGCGCAGAGGGGATCCCACTGCCGCAGCTTCAGCCGAGGAGCAGCGTCCGGCCGGCGGGGCCGGGTCTGGGAGGTGGACCAGCCGCGTTTCCTATGGAAACCCCACCTACAGGAAAAGGGAGGACTGGACTGGTACAGTGCCGGGGTGGGTGGGGGCTCCTGGACTTCCCAGCTGGGAGAGGGGTCTGGGAGTGCCCTCGATTTCCAACCTGCAGGTACCATCACTGCTGCCTGCTGTCTCCTGCAAAATGCATTTCACAGAAGGCACGATTCCTGCAGACGGTCCCTAACCCACCTGCAAAGCCTCATTTGTGCTTCAAGAAGATGTCTTCAAGGACCAGCGATGACAGTCTTCTGATCTTGCATTAACCTAAAGACTTGTTCCCCACACTGTTAGACTTCTGACTTACTTTGATTTATTCTCAAATAAATCCGGCATGTCATCCCTGATCCTTGCTCTGCCTTTTGCTGTCAGTTTTGAGGGCAACACACCCACGTCACCTTTTCCAACATATGGCTTTTGATTATGTCACTGCTTCATTTGCATCTGGACACACCAAAAGGAGCTAATGAATCACTGGGAGAGTTGCCACATCAAACACAGGCAGGTTGGCACAAGGAAAGAAAGGAGGCTCTAGCAGATGTGAGCTGTGTCCTGTCAGGCCTCTCCCTATCCCCTACATCCGTCTGCCCTGGCCAGCTCCCCCCATCTTGGCACATGATCTATCCCCAGCTTGGCTCTGCTTTTATTTCCCCAGCATCTCTCCTCACCCAGCAATGATTTTGCATCACCAAATCCCTTCTTTGCCTTATTTCAGCACCTTAGTCCAAGGCCCCACCTTTGAGCAGCCCACGTGTGGCCACGTGGCCATAGCACCCGCTCCCTGGCTGGCTGTGCACGTGTGTGTAGGTAGCACAGTCTGAAGTTGTTTCATGTATTCCTCCTAAGCAGGCAGCAGGCTGCCTGCAGAGCCCAGTTACATCAAGCTGGGCTGTACTTTGGGTCTCAAGGTGATTTAAGGCATTCAGGACATGGAAGGTCACTCCAGAAGTTTCTTTGGCTGTTATGGAGAGCAGAGCATCTTCATGGGGTGGTTTGGGTCCCACCAGCCACATCATCTTTGTCTTGGCCCCTACATCTACCAAGCAGACTCCAGCAGCCCTGTGGCTTGCCCACCTTGCTCTCATCCTGCTTTTCCAGCCTTGATGGGCACCTTTGTACCCCCATCCTATTCCCATTCCTCCCTCCTCCCCTCACAGCTCTGATTTTTTCAGTTGAAGCTCCCATCACCTGTATCTCTGTTCTCATCACTTTTCTTTATTAGGTCAGTTTTAGTGCCACAATTAACAGCAAAAGCAAAACCACCCCAGTGCCAACCAGCCATTTCGCCCTGGGGTGGGTTAGTGCCAATTCTCAGCACACCAGGAGAAAGGTCCGGTGCAGCTCAGCCGTGGTGGGGGGGCAGGAGTCCCGATGCTATTCCTGGGCTCAGCCCCAGCTCCAGGTGACCTTTGCCAAGTCATTTCCCTGCTTTGTGCTCACGCTTCCTCCTCAGCTGAGCAAAGCCAGCGTGCGGGCTCTCCGGAGGGATGCTCTCCCGCTCACCGGCTGCCCGCAGAGCTGCGGATGGAGAAGCGGATGTCTCCCAGCCCATGCCCTGATTTTGGGGGGTGAGGGGGTGGGAAGGCCACTTCCTGCTGGGGGGAGTCTCATCCTTCCACGTCCCTCTTCTCATGCCTTTCCTTCTCAGGGATAGAGAGGAACAGAAGATCCATACTGAAATATCACCAAGGAAAGGAAATAAATGTTATGCCTGAGAATTGTGGGGTTCCCCAAAGAGCCCTGCAAGAGGTATCCTTCTCCCCATCACATCCCAAACCAACCTCAGCAAGTGCCCCACATTTAACTCATCACCATTGTGCCAGAAGCTATATTCCCCCTGACACCAGGACCCTGCTTGGTGCAGCCCCACCCCACCAGCTAGAGGGAGGATGCCCCTTCAGGCTGCTGCAGCGCCGAATCACAGAATCATCTGGGTTGGAAAAGCCCTTTTAGCTCCTCCAGTCCAACCATGAACCTCCCCTTGACCGTTCTCAACTCCCCCAGATCCCTCAGCGCTGGCTCAACCTGACTCTTCAACCGCTCCGGGGATGGGGACTCCCCCCCTGCCCTGGGCAGCCCATTCCAACGCCCAACAGCCCCTTCTGCAAAGAAATCCTTCCTCAGAGCCAGCCTGACCCTGCCCTGGCACAGCTTGAGGCCATTCCCTCTTGGCTTCGTGCTGGTTGCTTGGTTCAAGAGACTCATCCCCCCTCTCTGCACCCTCCTGTCAGGGAGTTGAAGAGGGCCAGGAGGTCTCCCCTCAGCCTCCTCTTCTCCAGACTGAACCCCCCCAGTTCCCCCAGCCGCTCCCCAGCAGACCTGTGCTCCAGACCCTGCCCCAGCTCCGTTGCCCTTCTCTGGCCACGCTCGAGTCACTCAATGGCCTTTTTGGGGTGAGGGGCCCAAAACTGAACCCACTCATTGAGGTGCGGCCTCACCAGTGCCGAGTACAGGGGTCAGATCCCTTCCCTGTCCCTGCTGGCCACACTAGTGCTGATGCAAAATCGCTCTTTTTTCTCCCCAAAGGGGAGATGGGATTTTGAGCAGCAGTTTGCTCAGCCACCATAGGGAAGGGCTGATGTGACAGTGCTGGTGCTGGGAGAAGTCACAGTCACTGAGATGAGGGCTGTGACCCCCTCCTGTGCACCATCCCCCACCAGCTGTGCTGTCCCCATCTGGCTGCACAGATACCAGCCCTGGTGACAGATCTGGACTGCCCAGGAGAAAAGGAGCTGGAGGAGCTAATGCATTAATTATTACGATGCTTCAGGAATAATCCCTGTAGACTACACCTGTGACCCCAAGCCATCAGGACATTAGCAGTTTGCACAGAGGATGGCTGCAGGATTCTGCGAAAGCATTGCTGAGCTGCAAACCACGCCAGCTGCATCTCAGTGGAAGATGGGCAGAGTAATGCTGACAAAGAAAATAGAAAAGAAAAATGGGTTTGAGCTGAGACTTGTCAGAACTCCAGACAGTAAAATAAAATCTGGTGCTAAAATAAAAATACAACGGTCTTCTGTTTACACAGAGGCAGGTTTCCAACGCACAGGTGCTTCAAGACCTCCACAGATAATGTGTCTATGAACATAAAATTTCCCCCCTAGGAGGGTGGCTGCACCTAAAACCTTTCATTTAAAGCTCAGAGCACCGGTTATATTCAATTATTGTAGCAGTATTCTTCAGCTTCTGTGTGATGTTGTTAGTGCCCAAAGCAGATGTAAATGCTATTTACTGGTGTGAAAATGTGGCTCCTCCAAGGATCAGCTGCTCTCCAGGCTCCACAGACACAGGGGACACCCCAGCCTCGCAGGGGTGCAGAGCTGTACTTGAGGCTCCACACACTCGCCGTCCATCTCATGGCAGGGCGCAGCCTGACCATATTATTTTGATCTCCACTGCACAGCTGGAAGCCTTCAAATTTTGTTTATCATTTTGGGTTGGGTTGTCCTTAGCTGGGAACCACAAGCTGTGCTGCACATCTCCAGCAGGGTGCATAGGGCAACACAAAACCGAGAAGGGAAGTGATTTTTTTTTTTCAAGTCTAATAACGAAAAACGTCACCAAAAGAAAAAGAGTTCAAAATCAGCACAACTAAAGACACACCAAGATTTGGCCTCGTTAGTGTGCTTGGGGATTACCGTATCCTGTGGACCACTCAGGGAAGCAGGACTTGGTCTCATTTCTGCCCTACAGCTGCTCCACGGGGTGGGAAATGGAGTCTGAGGGTGAGGACACAGAGCCCAGGATGCACTCTGAGGTGGGACACTCTTCCAGGCTCAGCTCCGTACCTCAGAGCACCATCCTCAGCAGGAGGACAACTGCAAATCTAGATGGAACAAGTGGTGGCTGCTTCTCCTCACCTGGTGCCCTGATACCTGGGATCATGCTTTTTTCCCCCTCAACTGTCCCAGTTTTCAGCCCTTCAAAAATAGGCTTTGCTTCTCTAGAAGTGTCACTCCCTTTTCAGAAAAAAAAAAAAAAAAAATTCTTAATCTCCCTCTGTGCATTAGATATTTCAGGAGCTGAGTGCAGATGCGCAAGGTGACCCAGGACCTGCCCCATCCTCGGCTGCCGGGAGGGATTGGGGCATCTCTGGAGGGACCTTTCTCAGGAGGAAGGAAATGATTCACACTCTCACACACAAATCTGCAGGAGGTGGATGGCCCTTCTCTGGGGGGGGCCTGCCTCTCCTGGTGCTCATCTCCTCTGTAAAACCGTAGGGTGACACTGGCTGAGAGACCCTTTTGGGCTGGGTTGCTCAGGTCCTCACTCATCCTTCACCAGACACGGCTTCTCTCTCCCTCCTCGCAGCCTCCTCCAGCAGCGCCTTCCTTGCACCGGGGAGCCCCAAACCAGGCACATCCCCCCAAACCCACGCTCGCCCCAGCTCCATTCTCCCAGTGTCGGGGAGAGGCAGGAGCCGTCGCCGCCCCAGCTTGCTGCCCGCACCCCTGCCTGCACTTGGCTGCCTCCGCCACAAGAGCCCACTGCTGCTCCGCGCTGGGCTCTGCCGCAGCCCCCGGCTCCCCCCGAGAGGCACCGAGCCCCCGGCCAGCAGCAGACTCCCGGCCAGAGGGGCAATCTGGCT